TTTCCAAACATCTTTACATAAACATAAAAATGTTTATTAAAAAATCACATGGTACAGTCACCTCATGCTACCAGAGGCAACAAGCTCTTTGTCACCAGGGAAATCATCTCAGCAGCCCCAGGGCACCAGACCAGTCCTGACACTGCTCAGTGCAGCTCCAGGTCCTCACACAGTCAGCTTCCCTAGCCAGAAATCACAAAAAGCATTCATGATTGCAATGTCTCATTAATTAGTGGTGAATACAGGTGAATCAGGCAGAACAGCCAACTCAGTAGAACTTCTGGTGCTCACAGCATGTTAATACGTTGCTAATTAAGACCATCAGCACTCCTTTTAATTAATATATTGGCTTGCTTAAGACTTAATTGAAAAGCTCTCGCTTTTCCAATTCAGAACATGGACCAGGCAAAGACTGTACAAAAGGCAAAATGAGCTTTGTTTGTGGGGATAAATTCAGCATTTTAGCTCCCAGCTCATTCCAGCTTCCTGATCAGGATGGGAATGTGAGAGAAGCCCAAAGGGAACATTTGGGAATGTGTGCACACTCACACTCCGAGCTCTCTTGGGATGGGAAAGGAGCTCTAGAGGTGACACAGGGGCACCAGAACCAGGAGAACCAAAGATTCCTGTGTCACTTGTTGCCTCTGGAGCCAGAGACTGACATTCACTGACATCCACAGAGCTTTGTCTCCAGAATCACAGATTTGGAGAGCAAAGCCTTGGGGGACAGGACTCCTTTAAACAGCCTCCTGTCTCATGAGGTGCAAGTTCCAGACTGAGTCAGTGAATCACTGGTTTAAATGTCTATCTCCAAAGGCAAAATGAGAACTATTTCTACTGCACTTTTTAAAAACAAAAAGCACTCAGTGTATCCTCCCATCTGCTTTCTTCTGCACTCGAATCACTTCAAACCTAACTGAGCTTCTGAGCAAGTTGTGTTTAACACAAATACCCTGAAGAGTTGTTGAGTTGAGATTCAGAACGTGTCAGATAGAACCTCCAGAGAATTTTCCTACAGGCAGAAGAAGGAGAGGAGAAACAAAACTATTTCCATTTTCCCTCGCTAGAAATATTTCAAAACATTAGAAAAATATCTAAGTGGTTTACATATATTAAACCTGAATGGGGAAATGCCTTTAAATTGCACAGAAACTTCAGTTTTGTGAAGTTACAGAGCAGTTTATCAATCCTTAAATCATAATCCCATTCCCACTTTAATTCCCTCTCCACAACACTGGTTTCCCTCGAGACTGAACATTTCCAGGAACAAGAGATTTCCAGGGAACAGAAGAGAGAGAACTTCTGCCAGGAGCTTGCAGTGAATCCTTCCCATGGACCAAAACCACAAAATGCCCAATTCCTGGGATCAGCCTCTCTCTGTCACAAAGTGCTGGGGGCACGGATAAAACATCCACTGCTCCTCTCCCCCAGGATGGAGCTCAGCTCTGCCCACATCCCCAGGAGCCTGGCTGCTCTCTGCCATTTGCAGCACTGTGTCAGGATTCCCATCTCAAACCTGCCTTAACTTATCTCAAAAACAACATCCAGAGCTCATTTCCCCCATCAAGGGGGCAGAGTGAGAGGGAATTGCACTGGGGCTTGTGCCAGAGCTGGACCCACTCACATCCCAGCACCCCTTCCCAAAACAATTCCCAGAGAAAGAGGAATTCTCCCCAAAGGGGCTCTCTAGAACCTGCCCCACTTCATCTTCTAAAAAGAAAACAGCAAAAAGTCTCCAGCCATTACATTTTTTTTCCAGGGGAACGATGCAGTGATGGAGACACCCCAGGACTGCAATCCCTCCCTGTGTGGTGTTCCTTGAAGGGCTGAAATCCAAATAAGAGAGTGCCTGGGAGGGAGAATGGAGGGGGAAGGATAGAAATAGAGGCATTAACAAGGACAAATATTCTGTTGGTAGGCAGGCTCATGATGGAAGGGGGATTATGATTAAAGAAACCTCAAGAAGACAACTTTAAAACAAAGAGAAGAACTGCCCAAGTTCCAAGACCCAAAGCCAAACAGAGCTTGGCAGAGGAGGCTGCATCTCCAGGGCCCCTTACATGGCAAATCCCTGAGGAATCCCAGCCTTTGTTTGGATTTCATGTTGCCTGTCAAGGGAGCACGAGAGCTCTGTACATCTTCGGGGTTTGCTCACATTTCCCTTTATCTTGGGGAGTTTCAGGTTTATTTTTAAGGCCTTTTTTGGGAGGGGAAGCAGAGCCTGGCTGTGTCACAAGCGTGGACACAGGGAGCACCAGCCAGTCCTCCCAGGGATCAGGTCTGGCAGCACAGGGAGCAGCAGGGACAGGCAGGAATCACCATTCAGGGGCTAAAACCTCTTCCCTGACACAAAATGTGCTGCTGCTGCCTCTCAGCCAGCTGCCCCTTGCCTCCACTCCCAGCAGGGCACCGTGGGTTTGTGCAGACACAAAACACCTGCGAGCACCACCACAAACCATCTGAAGTGTGACACCTCCAGTTGTGCTGATAAATCAAATTGCTGCTGTTAATGCTGCTTTAAACAGAGATGTTTTACTTTAGCCTGTCCTGGGTGCCTCCTGAGGAAGCTGCTGCTCCCCCTCCATGGCAGCTCCAGCTCCAGCACCAGGCTTGGCATGGAATTACTGGGCAGCAGGAAAAATGCATCACTCCCAGGTCCCCACCTCTGGATCAGCTACTTAACCAGTCACCTATTTTTAGCTCTGCCAGGCAATCAGGATGCTGTTCACAAAACACTTCACCTTAAAATAAAATTGCTTTCCTCAAATGACGTTGTCAGGTTTTGTTATTTTCGCTTTTAATGCGAAGCTTCAAATAAAAGATAAGGTAGTTTATTGAGAAAGGAAAGACTGTTCTTAATGGGAGAGAAAAATGAATGCAGAATAGGCTAAATGTTAGTGATTATTGCTGGGAAAAGATGTGGAGATGTAATGGACATGAGATAAGGGGGAGGCAAACTGGGGAGAAGCGAGGGAAGGAGCAGCACTGCCTGTCACAGGCACTTGGAGCAGGAGTTTGAAGCTTGAAGGAGCCTTTCCTTGGCCACAGCCTCCTCCTTGAGAGCCTCAGGGGTTTTAATGGTGATTTCTTCAGAGCCTGCAGAGCTCCCAGGGGGCTCAAAGGACTGTCCCAGCCTGGGGGAGCTCTCACACAAATCCCAGCTCCAGCACAGTTCCCAACACCAAACCACCCTTGTGATTCCTCTGCCAGGCTCCCACCTTTCCCCTCTGACCCCACACACAAATTTCACTCCTTCCCAGGCTCTAAAAGCCTTTTCCAAAGCACAAGTGTTTCTCCAGCTGTCCACTCTCCCTGATCCCCACAAGTCCTGGCACTTCCATCTCCTCAGGTTTGGGATGAATGGGACAGTCTGAGGTTTGGAGAGCTCTGCAGGCAGGTGCTGCTCTCTGGGGTGTTTGTGTCAGCACAGAGAGATGCCCCTCACAGCAGGGTCAGTGTGGGTGGCTCAGAGAACCCCAAGACACCCCCTGGGCCTGCCAGAGATATTTGGGGAGCAGGAGAAACCCCAGGCAGCTGCAGCCCAAGGGCTCAGTGTCTCTCAAGACACCAGCTGGAGAATGGAGCTACATTTGTGTTGCCAAAACCCAGGAGGGGCACAATTAACCTTGCAAAGTGACAAGAGAATCCTTTGCTGTACCACAAATCACCTCCATCCTCAGCAGAGTTTCTGACTTTCACACAGTCCCATTTGCAGAAGGGATTCATCTTTATCTGAAGCTGTAATTGAATGCCAGTAGTTACCTTGGTGACATTTAAAAATCTATCCCTGTGCATTGCTGTCAACACTTTATAACACAATAAAGTGCCTCGTGGAGAAAGTCAGAACACAGCTTAGGGAATAGTTCCTATGACAACTCCATGGATCAGGGGGATGGCAGAGATCCCCAGTGTCCAAAGGACAGCAGCACAGCCAGAGAAAGTCCAGGCTGAAGTCAGTGCTCTCCTAAAGCTCTGCTGAATGCAGCTTCAGCCCAGCTCCAGCCAGGTCTGAAATTTAACAAAACAATTCTCCAGGTACTCCCACTTTCACTGAAGTTGCCCAGAACTCTGACATTTTTCATGCAGTCAGTCCAAGTGACTTCAGCAGGCCTCTGCTGGGACTGATCATTGCCAGGGAGGGAGAGCCACACTTGCTGTGAGTGTTGTTTGTTGTCCTTCAAGTGTTAAATACAAGTGGGAAATGGAATTATTGACAAAACCAGGATTCCCATTCTGCTTATGGCAGCACATCCTGTGAGATCCTGGGACAGAGGGCACTGGGCTCTCACTCCCCCTGGCATTTCCAGGTTTATTGTTCACCAGAGGCAGATTTTCTCCACAAGAAGCAGGGAGAGGAGCTTGGCTGAGGCTCAGCATTGCTGAGGAAAGTTCCCACTGCCCAACTCCACCTCTTCCTCCTGTGTTCTTGCCTTTCCCTTCCAGTTTCCTGGGGCAGCAGTCTCCTCCCCAGCACAGCCCTGGGCACTCCATCCCTGCTCCTCTGGGCTCACAGCACAGGAACATCTGGCCCATCAGCCCCTGGAGCACAGAATTCATTCTGTCCTGCTGTGAAACTAAATCTGAGCACCAGTTTATTTGGAAAAGGCTCCAAGCCCAGCTGTCCATGGCCTCTCCCCCACCCTTGGCAAAGCTGTGCATGTCCTCTGTATTTTCTACCCACACCAAAGCACAGACCCTGCTAAACACACTCAGGCAGGTACATGAGAAGTTAAAAGGGCACATCTCAATCAGGAAATGCAACAAAAACCGTGGTTTTTTTGGCACTCCCTAAAGATGCTGAGAAGTTTCATTGGAATTTCAAACAGAGGGAACAAACACGAGCAGACTGATAATAACAACAGGCCTGAGAAAGGCAAACCAGGTAAAGCAAGAGATTATAATCTTGCCCTTCAGTAAAGTTCTTTTCACCTGAAATCCACTCAGTGTGGAGATAATCTTGCCACTGGAGACCACAAAAGAAAAGTTATTTGCATACAGAATAGGCTCACAGAAAATTAAACTGCTGTGCAAAACCAGAGCTTATTATGCAAGAAATGTGATAAGCTAAAACATACAAAAAATCCTCCTCAAGATCTGAGCAACATGAGCTAAAAATACCTCTATTGCATGTCATTTACAAATTCAAAGGGTTGTTTAGGCTGTGTTTAGATTGTGATCAAACAACACTCGATACATTTTTTTTCCACTTGTGATTAAAGATAGTGCTGGATTTTAGGTGTTCTGATTGCTTTCCTCACTTCATTTTTATTGCTATTTTTAATTCGCACTTGATGTTCTGTGCACTGAAAGCAAGCAGCAGTGCTGGGAGGGCACCAAAGTCCTGCTCACGTTGTCCTGCCAGGGCAGGAGGGATGGTTTGGAGCAGCCCTGACCTCCAGGGAGTGAAGAACGGTGCTGTCAGCCCTGGGTTTGCTCTGTGCTCACCCCCTGCCCTGCTGGGGAGGCAGCAGGGCAGGGGATTTGAGAATCTCAGCATAATTCCTCAAACTTTTCATTCTTTCCAACTGCAAACAACAGAGCTCAGTGGCGTGATGAAAAATTCTCAGCCATAAATTACCATCATTTTTCTGTTACATAACATGATTTATCCAAAGCATGCACCGCTCTCATTCCAGTTTCCACTGGAGTCAATAGAATTATAAGTGTTCAGCACCTCTGAAAAACCAGGACATGCTTATTCATGGGTATAAAATTTATGGTACCCAAATTAGAATATTCTGTCCTTAAGTTCTGTGCAGAGCTCCTTCCCCTTCTGCGTGGACATCAGTGCAGCATCGCTGACATCTACCCCCAGCTCTTCAGTGACTGCCCAGGACGGCTCACACCTGAAACAAGCACCACAAACACCTCAACTCCTGGCTCTGGAGAGCTCTTCTGCTCACCCAGCAGGTCACAGGGGCTCCAGGCAATATCCCTCTCTACGTCAGCCCTTACATCCATGGGGTGTTGGAAAGGAATAACTGCCAGAGATGCTCATGTACAGACCCAGTTATGCACCAAGAGCAGCCATCACCTGGCAAGGACAAGAGGAAAGCCAAAGCAGAAAGCAAATGAGTAGGAAATCTACTGTCCTGGAAGCTCTGCTCAGCCTCGTGGCATTTTCTCCACTCTTCACCAACCCCTCTCTTTATGTGTCCTTTGCACAGAGCCTTCCTTCCTTCTTGAAGGTGCCTTCAGTCCTTCCCTCAGGATGTCACAGCTTTGGCTGGTCAAGGCTGGCAGTGAAAACCCAGCCACAGATTTTTTTGTTTCCTCAGAGCACAGCAGAGGTGGAAATCAAAGCCCAGCTGTGCTGAGAGCCCCTGGGGTCTGTGCCAGGCTGAGGTGAGCTCACCTCGAGCTTCCCCTGGTGCTGGACACCAGGGCTGTGAGGAACCAGCCCTGGTTATCTCAGGATGCTGAGGCCTTTGGCACTGCTGGGTGCCAGAATCCCAGAGCTGCATCCTGCCTCCCCAGCCCTGCAGGGAGGCTGCTGTGGCCGTGTCCCTCACAGCAAGGCTCAGCCAGGGGCAGCAGCGTGTCCAGCTCTGCCTTCTGCTCACAGCCACAGCTCCCCGGGCTTCCTCCTGCCAGGGAAGCTCCCTGGTGCTGGGAACAGTCCCATGGGCTCTGCTCAGCAGCATCTGAGCAAGCAGAGCCCTTGTTCCTGCAGCGCTGAGCAGAACCTGTGCAGGGCTGTGCAGAACAGGGAGGCACCAGCTCAGCCCCGGCAGCCTCACAGCTCACCTCACCCTCACAGCTGGGAGAGGAGCCATCCTCTGGGGCTGGGAGAGCACCAGGGACAGTGGGAAGGGGATCTTTCCCTTCCTCTCAGTGAGCAGATCCTGGTTTTCCTCGGTCCCCTGGCCCCAGATGGGTGCCACCAGTCGCTCCGTGCCACACAAATGTGCTCAAAGGAAAACTCCTGCACCAAGAACGGGGCTGTCACACGAGTCCAGGAACAACAGCTTGTGTGTTCACATGTCAAAGTTTCAGATTCCTTCAGAAAACAGGAGGGCAGTCTAATCCTTCTGACTTGGAATCCCTGAGGAAGGCTGCCTAACGTGCTTGTCAGGCTGACAAGGAGACGCAGACCAAAAACCAAAAAACAGCCCTGAGTTTTGCAATTGCAGCATTTAAGTTAAAAATAATCAGGCTGGTAGAATTACATAAACTCAAGTTTTGCACAAGTTCTTAAACATAAGAGTCCAAAATGGCCTAAAGCTCACCTGAACACAATCCCCCAGGAACCCCTGAGATGTCATCCCTTCCCTTCAGTCAAGCACGTCAGGTAATCTGAGCCTTTGTGCAGAGACCCCCAGCAGCAGTGGGGAGAAGCTACCAACCTTCAGAAGGGGCTCTTGCCTAAGAAACAACATTTCTGGAACAACATCTCCCAGTTTCTCTGTTCTTTCCTTTTTATCTTCCAGCACTGGGCCCTCTGCCCTCTGAAGCCACCTTTGCAACCTCCCCAGCTCCACCATGGAAAAAACACATCCTTGCTCCAAAGGTCCATTTAGGGGATCCAGTTTTCCCTGGGAATTCTGTTCAGCCAAGGATCAGGGTTTACAAGGTCCCTCCAACCTCCCTCTAAATAAAGAATTGACCAGAGTGCTTAGCCCAGCACATTTCCAGAGCAGTCAGCACATCCAGGCCATGGACAGGGACCTTCTGTCCCCAGGGAGGCAACAGCAGAGCCCTTCCCTTTGTGCATCATTTCCATTTGTGCCACATCCCTTCATTCCTGTGGTATCTCCCCAGCTACACATCCTGTAAAACAATGCACCTTCACTGCCTAATCCACCACTATTCCAGGAACAGCTCCCCCCTCCAGCCAAGCAACATATGGCCCTTCAGCATCCTGCCAGAGGGAAGCCTCCAGGCTAGAAATTTGATGACAAAACTGGAAAAAAAAAAAAAGAAAGTTGAGAAATTTCCCAACCAAACTTGTTTCCTAGAAGATTTCAGCCTGAGCTGATAAGCACGATTAGCAAAATTAAGAAGCTTTTCCACCTTTCAGCTAATTCAGGGAGAAAAGGTGATGGATTTCCTGCCACCTCTCTTGTTGTCCATGACACCTGGAGGGGCTGGGTCCTTCTCCAAGCCTCAGACTCAGAGTCTGGGGTTGCAGCATCTTCCTGTGGCTGCAGCTTGATGTGCTCACCATAAGGTGACAACTCTGACCCTGTTACCTGGGAGGAGGTGTGGGAACACCTTGTGAGCACAGAGACAAGGGGGAATTGTTCTTTTCCATTTGCTAAAGCATTCCTGCAGTTTTCCCATGGCCTGGGTGATGCAGCACTCAGAACCAGGCAGAAATGGTCCCCAGGGGACAGGAGAGCCCCAGGGGACAGGAGAGCCCCAGGGCACGGGAGAGCCCCAGGGCACGGGAGAGCCCCAGGGCACGGGAGAGCCCCAGGGGAGCTCCACCCTGCCCAGCCAGAGCTGAGCAGCCTCTCCTGCCCCTTTATGAGCCAGGCAAGAGCAGACACCTGTGAGTGAGTGATGGTGTGACCTTGGTGACCCCAAAAACACCTTCAGGGTCTTTTCCAACCCAAAGGATTCTGCGAAGGAGCAGATGCAAGCCTCACCTCCAGGAAGATGTTTCTAGAACATCACCCTGACAAAGCCAACCAAACCTTTCCCCAGTTTTCTGGGACTGCTGCCCATCAGGGAGAGTCTGAGTGCTGCAGCCCAGGAACTCAGGATAGTAGTTGTGAGTTTTTTCTTAAATATGAAAAAATTAAATCCACTGAAAACACAAATTACTGATTTTCCACAAAATTAGTGGTCTCAAGTAATACTTCAGGTATAGATACATCTAGAGTCCATCTCATCCTGCATAACACAACATTTCTGCTGCCCTCAGTGCTGCTCAGGCTGGGGGTAGGCAAGGCCAGCAGAGGGTTTGAGGGGAGGACAGGTAGGTCCTGTCCCTTCCCAGCCCTTCACCCCCAGTACAATGATCTGTTTATGGAGCCCAACACACACGTGGGCGGTTCAGCTTAAAAAAACTAATATTAGGTATCATGTGTTACAAAGTAAACTTTTCACAGGGAAGATGTTTCTATAGTAACTCATGTTTTTCTAGCCACACATTTCACATCAGGGTTGCCCTGGAAACAGAACTATAGAGATGTGTTCAGCAAATAAGTTGTCAATAGCTTTTTCTGCAGGCCCTGCACTCTGCCCCATCAGCCTGAGGCTGAGCACAGCACCCTGGGGAGACTCCAGTTCTGATGGGAGTGTGGAATCCTCCCTGCCCATGAGCCACAGCATCATTTCCCCCACACCACGCTTCTCAGAGCAAGTGAAATGCTCCTGGGGCAGGTTAGAAATCCAGAGAGCTCAGTCCTGCTGGAAGGGGAGCATCAGTGAAACACCTTCATCTGCAGGGGAGAGGTGGAATTACCCTGCTGGAAAACCCGAGCACTGAAAGCCCACAGAGACCTCGGGGTGCTGCTGGGACGTGTCAGGGGGACATCAGCTCATGCCAGGGAGCAGTCTGGATCTCCCTGGCTTTGAGCATATATTTAGGATGAAGCATTCCCAAGGGTAACGTGCAGACTCCCACTCACCTCCAAGGAAAGTCTGCAAAAAGATCACAGCTCTAATCTGGCATTTACATAGTAGCTGGGATTTTAATTACTATTTGTTCAGCACCTCACCATTCATTCAGCAGCAGCCATGCGTGCACCTGCAGCACTGGCACTGCTCCTGACCTTTGCTTTCCCACTTCTCTTCCCTGCTTTTCCCCCACAGCTCCCTCCAGCCCTGCAGCCCCAGCCCAAGCAGCAGATGCTGATATCCATTGCAGCAGAGCCCTTGCAGGCTGCTCTCTGCCTCACCTTCTCTTAGGAGGAGCCTTTGCTCCTCCAGGCAGCTCTTGGCACCTCCTTGTTGGCTCAGACACAAGGAGCCCAATTCCCCATCCAGAGATGCCACCTGAAGGGGAAGAAGCTGTAAGTGACCCTTCAATCAGCTCCAGATTTATCAGCAGTGGCTCACAGCTCTGTGCCCCCCCAGGACTGTCCTTCAGACAGAACCTGCTTCAAGCATTTGACACGGCAGGAAAGGAACAATTTGCTCAAGTGCCCTTGTGTTTAGGCTCCAAGTCAAAACCTGCTCCAAAAAAGGACAAAACCCCCACGATGCTGAGACCTGAGGAGGGAGAGACTGAAATTCCCCTGCTAACTCAGTGCTTTGACTGGGGCTGAACAGGCTCAAAGGACAAGCCCTCACTTAATCCAGGGAAAAAAATCAGTGTAATTTAATCCAGGGAAAAAAAATCAGTGTCACTTAATCCAGGGGAAAAAAATCAGTGTCACTTAATCCAGGGGAAAAAAATCAGTGTCACTTAATCCAGGGAAAAAAATCAGTGTAATTTAATCCAGGGAAAAAAATCAGTGTCACTTAATCCAGGTTAAAAACCAGTGTCACTTAATCCAGGGGAAAAAATCAGTGTCAGTGGGCTGTAGAGGTCCAGTGCAGATGGACCTGGTGTCCCTAATGGAAGGGTCATTTCTGCTCCATTCTTCAGAGAGAGCTACATGAAAATATCATGCTGGGGTGTGTGATAAAATCTGGTTTTTCAAGCTCATCCTCCAACCTGCGGCAGCACTGGTTCGAGTATTTTAAATTATTTCGTATTTCTGTAAGTATGCAGTGGAATAACACTGAATATGACACCCTCCCTATTTCACACTCTGCCCCCTCCTACCTGCTACGAACAGAAGGAGCAGCAACACAGCTCCTGGTGCTTCATTCTGAGGTGTTACAACAAGACAGTCCAGATTCAAATGTCTTTAAGGAATAATTTTCAGGAGCAGAGCGATGGTGTCCTTGTTCCCACTCAAGACTCAACAGAATAACCTAAAACAAATAAATAAAATTTACCTGGGGTGCCCCATAATGGGAATTTTGAAGGAACCATGGTATTTTGAAGGTACCAGGCGTGATGGAAAGGAAATATCTGAGCTTTGAAAAATGCCACCAGAATTGCAAAACAGCATTGGATGGGCCTGGGCAACAATTGGAGAGTGACCTTAAAACTCCTCTGCTGACAGATTGTGAGTTACAGTGAATTTTCCTAATTCATATACACAGGTCCAGCCTGGCCTCTGTTTGCCTGCAAAGCCTTAGGCTGGAATCTGCTCAAGCCAGGAGCTGCTTGCACATGCCCAGGAAATGCTAAATATAAACTGGACAATGTGCAGATAAATCATTTTAATGAACATTTTAGGTCAAGGCCCAAGTCTTTGTTTGCACCTGAAAAGGACCAAGGGGACAGTGAACACCTGTCCCAGGTACAAGTCCTGGGACATTACTGCAGCTCAAACTGCACAAGAAGTCTCACCAATCCAAAGCATCCTAACTCTGTAGCACTGAAAAAACAGTTAATTTCCTCTCTAATGAAGAAGAAAATAAGTCTCACTAGAATTAATTACCGCTTGCATCATATTGCCCCACAGTTCTAAATCTCTCCTTTTAGCACAGTTTTAAAAGCAGATTTTCAAGGGCACTGCCCCTTGATGAAGACCATTCCCTACATGTCCTTCAAACACTTTAGATTATTTAATAAGTAGAGGAGGAATCTGTAAATCAGGATTTGCAATGAGATCATTCCACCATAATCTTTTCATTCATTGGACAGGCTTTGGGTCAAAAGAGCCAAGAAATTAATTTCGAGACCAAAAATTGTCCACACTAACAGACTGCTCACATTCCAGTGTCATCCAACATTTCCTAGCGAGCTCAGTTACTTCATTCTGTCCCCAGCTGAATCCAACCTCCCAAAATAAGAACTCCCTGGGATTATTAATAAAATTATTAATTACAGCTAGGGCCTGTTTGCCTCCCCCTTCCCAGCTGTGTCTCAAAGGAGCAATGCCTGAACACGCTGCCTGAGGGCAGGGATCCGCTCCCCAAACTGAGAGCAGAGCAGCAGAATCGCTGTGAAGTGCTCCTTTACACCTGCATCACACTGGGCAGGGTATTTCACCCCTCCAAGGGTTATTTTCTTGGCACTCGAGGTCATGCCCCAGGATTTGGGTGAACATTTGAGTGTGCAAAGCACCGAGTGTGCCTGAGCACCTCCCAGCAGAGATGTTGAGGTTTGATCACCAAGGACCAGAGCTCGGGGCTGTCCCTCAGATTAGATTCACCTCAGTAGTGCAGCTCTCAGTTACAGGCTGTGAAATCCACATTCAGTCCCTCGGGATCCAACATTCCAGCCAGAGATTTCAGCTGCTCCCACCTGTGGCTGCCACAGGTGAAGGTGTCAGGCCCTGTGTCCGTGTTTCTTCTGAGGACAGGCTGATCCTACTTTTAGTTCTCTTTATTCCAAACAAGCAAAATTCCAAATACTTCAAGTTTCCTCCTAACCTCCACCCCAAACAGGTTCCACCTTCCCCAGCCCCTCCTGGTGGGGTGGCACCAGTGACCCAAGCCGTGCTGCCATTCTCGTGCCCTGGCTGGGAGGAACACTGCCCTGCATTCAAACCCTTCTTCCCAACAAAGCACCAGGTTCCCACCCCTTGCACAGACACCCCAAACCCTCCCTGTTCGCCCTCACAGAGGATCCCCAGATCCAGCCCAGCCCAATTATCTGCTCTGTCACCACTTCCCATCCTCAGGTCGCTGGGACAATGTCAGTGTTGGAGTTATCCAGGCTGGTGGAGGGTTTGGTGATGAATTGTGTTCCAGAAGCTGGCAGTGCCTGAGCTGCCCCTGATCCGCTCTGCTCATTAGATCAGGGAAATGAGCTGGGGTCATTAGAGCTCTCCTTAACTAGGAACAATCAGGGGCTCACAGAACTCGTTTAAATGCACAGAAGGTGCCCTTAGGAGAAGAGTGGAGTTTGGTGCTGGGTAGGCTCATTCCCCTAAGCAAAGAGAAGCGGTAATGAACACAGGAAAAAAAAAATAAAAATCCAGTCTCTCAAAGGCACAGAAATGCCTCAGAAGGGGCCCCCTCGCTGCAGCTTCTGCTCTCAGTGGCCAGAAGCAGTTCCTGCCACACAATTAGCTTTTCCAAATGGCAGAACCAGAAGGTGGCAAACTGTGACCTGTTCCAGGCTCATACGCTAACAAAACCTCCTGCAAGCATTTTTTTTTTAATTATTCTTAGGAAAACTTCAAGCACAGAGGCTGGAAAATAGTTACATTCTTAATACAGAGGAAAACTACTACCCTGCAGTCCAATCACACAAACAAATAGAATAATAAAGCAGGTGACATTTCCTATTAGCGATCTCCACTGGTTGTGTTTGCAACTCTTGAGAGGCAAGCTAGCAAAAATACCAAGCCTGTTTTGTTAAGATGGTGAATAAATTGGATGCTTGTTAAGCCCTGATTGCTTCTTAAATATTTGCCTAGATGTGAATGTCTTGAGAGAAGGAGGTTAAAGCCTTTTCAGGCTGATCCTGTGAGACCTGAATACAAAGCCCATCTTGTAAAATGCCCTCCTGCTTGTGTGAAGTCTCCCAGAATCAGCTTCATGGCTGGAACAGGGCTGAGCTCACTGTGCCACTGGGCTCAGAACCCAAATATGAAATGTTCATTCAGAGCTGGGCTTCCAGAGTTGCTCTGGATGCATCCTCCCCTCCTCATTTTCATTCTTTTAGTTCCAGTAAATTCCATGGCTTTTTCCCCTGCGCCTGGATGATCCCAGTGATCAGCAGCCTGGGATCTCCAGGTGGATTCACCCTCCCAGCCTGCAGGAGTGTGAGCACATGCATGCCCTGCACAGGTTTTGTGCCAGGAAAATGGATTATCCCCAGCTCTGCACTGCCTTTTCCCATGGCCATTTTGTCCCAGCAGGCACAGGACCTCTGGAAACCCCTTGGGATGGTTGATGTTCAGGGTGTGAACAAAGAGGGGAAAACAAAGCACTAAAGAAGCACAATTTTACTCTTGCAAAGAGAAAACCAGACAAGACCTCTCCACAAGCTCCAACTGGCTGCCCTCCATCCCCCTGTGCGAGGAGCTGCTCTGGGTGTTCCTGCAAGCCAAAGAGCCTCAAACCCCTAAACCCAGCTGCAAGTGTGCTGTCACCATCACAGGAGCTATAAACAAACCCCAAATCACCCAAACTCTCATGCCAGTGTAATTTCAAATGAGCTTGGACAGAAAAGATCAGCCTCCCTGGGCTTGCATGCTTGGTTCTAATAGCATTGACTGCCTGGTAACAAGATGAAGAGCTCTTATAAAAAGAGACAAGCAGCAAGAAATTGTATTATGTACTAATACCCCCCTTACTGACAGCACTTATCTGCAGAGGGCTGCACAGAGAAAGGGAGTTAAAAGCTCTGCCATCATCAACCACGGCTCTGCCTTCTGCAGCAGAGGGATCCACGCAGGGCTTGTGCCTCCAGTGGGGCCAGGGCAGCTGCAGGATTGAGTTCACACAGGGCCAAACACAGAGCCCAGCAAGGAAAGGTCCCAGGGCAGGTTTCTGTGCACCCACACATCCCTCCCAACACTCAGTCCTTCCCTTCCTTCCTTCCCTTCCATCCATCCCTGCCAGCAGCCGCCCTGCAGAGCCTCTCTGTGCTCAGGCACCGAGGCTGTGCCCAAGGAGAGTTTGGCATCACAGGAGACAGCAGCAGCTCAGAGCTCAGCCCTAAACCCTCCTTACCTGCTCTGGATCCTTCCCATTTCATCTCCCAACCCAGCAGCAGTTTGTGATTCAGCCTCTTCTTACGTGAGGAGCTGAAAATTGATGGCTGAATGTGCTCCATTCCAGAGCTGCAGCTTGGCCTGAAATTTAAGTGATACTGGAGTTTAAAAAAATATAAAATAAAAAGCCAGGAAAGTGAGACCAGAACATGGCATGGAGGAAAGCAGCAGGGGCAGCTTTTCTGGGAAAGAAGGGAAGCAGGAAGAACACATCACCCCAGACACAAGATATTGCTTTCAGCTGTTCAGTAACGAGGGTTAAACACCCCTGAGCGGCTACAGGTGTGACCAAAAAAATGCAGAAGTAAAATGCTGATTATTAAAAAGAAATCAACATATTCTTCAGAAAAGCAAAACAACTTTAAGGCCTTTTTAAAGGGAATATCTTTAACTAGCCCCCAAAATAATGTGAGGACTGTTGAGCCAGCACGTGGCACAGCCCTGATGCTGGGGGTTCATGGGGCAAAATCCTGCTCTCTTCCAGAATTTGTTTTTTAAGGTTGCCTTAAAGGTCTAAAGAAAAATCTAAGAGGCTGCTACTGCAAAAATACCTAATTCCTGCTTAGATCAGCTGAATATGCTTTGGGTTTGGATTGCCCTGGATCCTCTCCCAGACACGGTGCCACATCTGCCATGGGGACAGAGCTGCACCTCTGGAGCCCACCAGAGCACCACTGGAACATTCTTGGTCCTTCTTCTCCCCAGATCCCCACCTGAGGGGCAGCTCAATTGTGCCTCTCACCACTGACCCATCAAACTTCCTTAAACAAGAAGATCTGTAGTAAACAAAGAAGAGAGAAGAAAGAAACCAGTGAAGTTTTACAGTTTAGAAAGAATAATTAAAATAAAGCAATCCCTTTTGGAGAAACACTAGACACACATGCAGCCCTTTTGTATAATCTGTTGTTTGACAGCATTCTTAAACTAAGTAAGACCACTAAAAGCAGCAGTAAAATTAAAGAGCAGATATATGGGACTGAAGTAGATTTCATGACAGCAGCAGGGAAGAAAAGCTAAAGATGTTGGTCAGAATGACAGGGTTTTGTTTAAGAACACGTGTACTGCTTTGTAGCTGGGAGAAGAAAAATTGATTTTCCAGACACTGCTATAAAACATGCCAAGAAGCCAGAGCAAACCAAAGAAAACACCAGCTGCAACTGGATAATAAAACATCCCAAATTTTCCATGTATGTCCATGTATGGCAGGAAGAAATCACCCTGCACTTAACTTTGCTCCCTCTGTCACAGGTGAAAGGACAAGAAACATGAAGAGAAAGCAGAATAAAGTATCAGAACCCCTGGGCAAAGGGAATTCTCAGCAGGGAGGAGCTGAGGAGCAGCCTGGGAGCAGCAGCCTGTGCCCAGCCCTGGGCAGTGAGCCCTGTGAGCCCAGCAGGGATGGGATGGATTGTGGAAAACTCCTGGATGGAAATCCCACCCTGGCCACTCGTACCTGGTGACAGCAAATATGCTCCAAGGCCTTAAGTTCACAAGTATAAAAGAGAATGACAAGGAAATACAATTAACTGCTTTTGTTTAAGATTGAACAACTGCCTCATCCTTCCTTTGCTGTTTTTCATCCAGTTTAAAACAGCAAAGAGAGTAAGGCTGGAAAGAACTGGGGAAACTGAGCTCAGCTCAGTATGGATCAAACACTGTGGTATTTCCCAGCCTGGGGTTGTTTTTGTCTGGATTTTCCAACCCTGATATGACATCGTGCTTTGAAGAGGAAAAAGACCTGGGAATGAAGAATGTCCTGTGTATTTTCATGAGCCACAGCCACCAGCACTCTCAGTGTAAACCAGCCAGTCACCTGTGAAGATTTCCAGTATCCCCAGTTAATGCAGGAGTACAAATTCCAGTTTAGGAGTGAATTGTGGAGGTGTTAGACCCTGGAAGATGCAGATACTGGGATTTTCTGAGGTTCCTACAATTCCATCATATACAAAATTCCATCAAGTAATTACCCTAATGCTAAGAGGAAAGCTGACTGGAGCTGCTGTTGTTCTGCTCTCCAAATCTGGATTTCAGAGTGGCTGATGAAGTATCTTTAATTCTGATGCTGGCCAAAAATGTGGCACATAATTCAACAGTAATTTCATCATCATTATTAAAACACATTTGAGGAGAAGCTAGAAAAACCAAAGTAATAAGGAAAAGCCTTGATGAAGACCTCCAGCCCTCAGCAGTGAGGGAGAGGAAGGCTCTGTGAGAGCTGCTCAGGGTGAGGGAGGTGCAGCAGGAATTTGCAGGTGGATGTGGATAACCATGGCTTGGGCTCCGCTCCCCAGGTGCCCCCTTGGATTGGCACCCATGGGAATGTGCACTCACAGAGCTCCTGAACTCAGCCTGGAGCAAGAATGCAGCTGACATGATGACAGTATTAGCCCAATTAATAATTCACAGGTGCCTATAAAAATACTGAGAACATTTTCATCATCACCTCTGGCACGCAAACCGCTCCCATGGGTGACACTCCCGCCTGATTCCCAGCCTGGAATATCCCCCCTGCCTCCAGGATCACTGAATTAAAACCTGGAGTGTGTTCTCTCCCCTGGGGAGCACTCAGTGCCTTTCCAAATCCCAGTTTTCTATTCATTATTAATCCTTCCCAGATCATTTCTGGAGCTAACAGCTCCCCAGTCCCACCCAGCCTCGGTGACTCGGAGAGCAGCAGGAAAGGCTGGGCACATCCATTTCCTTCCATCAACCCACCTGGGCTCCTTCACTTTTACACAGGAGATCTCAAGCAAAAAGCAAAGAGAGAGGAGGCAATTTGGCTTCTGACACACGATAACTGTTCAGCACAAATCTCTGCAGCTGGGGGCTCTCCCTGGCCCTCACCTGTGTCCTCTGGACAAGGGCCACCACAGATCCTCTCTGCTTCCATCTCAGGTGAAACGCGACTGGAGCACACCAGAGCACTCCTGGCTGCATTAGCTAGCAGCAGTGTCAAACAGGAGCTGTTAAATGAAGTGTCTCACTCAGAGCACCAATGTGTGATGACTAAAAAGAGACTCAATCGTTTTTGCCACATCCTACCAGGATAACAGATGCACCGGCTGAGTCTTCGTGAGCCCCCCACAGAACCACACAGCAGATGCTCCAGAACATGAGCCCGACCTGCTCTGGCTACACAAATATGGGAAATACACCACAGAAAGCCTTTCATTTATTTATTTACATTTTTTTCCACCAGTGCACGATCAGAATAAAACACAACATCCTTATATTGGGCATCACTTTTGCAGCTGGTGCAGCTGACTGAAATCCAGACGCCTGGGGCAGATCCTTGCCCCTAAAGGCAATTGGATCCAGGGGGATGGATCCAGGGGGATGGATCCAGGGGGATGGATCCCCAGGGATGGATCCCCAGGGATGGATCCAGGGGTGGATCCCCAGGGATGGATCCCCAGGGATGGATCCAGGGGGATGGATCCCCAGGGATGGATCCCCAGGGATGGATCCCCAGGGGTGGATCCAGGGGGATGGATCCCCAGGGATGGATCCCCAGGGGTGGATCCCCAGGGGTGGATCCAGGGGGGTGGATCTCCAGGGGTGGATCTCCAGGGGTGGATCTCCAGGGGTGGATCCCCAGGGGTGGATCCCCAGGGGTGGATCCAGAGGGATGGATCCAGGGGTGGATCCCCAGGGTGGATCCCCAAGGGATGGATCCCCAGGGATGGATCCCCAGGGATGGATCCAGAGAGGTGGATCTCAAGGGGTGATCCCACTCCCAATTCTGTTACTTCTGGTGGCTGGCACAGGCTGTCCCCTGTGACCTGTGGAGCTCAGGGAGACACCAGGGGAGCAGCTTGGCCATTGCAGCTTGGCCAGGGAGGTTTGGGACACCTCAAGGAGCAGCTTGGCCATTGCAGCTTGGCCAGGGAGGGTTTGGGACACCCCAAGGAGCAGCTTGGCCATTGCAGCTTGGCCAGGGAGGGTTTGGGACACCCCAAGGAGCAGCTTGGCCATTGCAGCTTGGCCAGGGAGGTTCGGGGCACCCAAGGGAGGCACTGCTGGAACCTTTCCCAGGGGTGCAGCCCCTCTGCTCCCCCCTCCACACAAACACAGAGGTGCCATGGGATGCAGCTTTGCTGCTCTACACCTACTGGTGCTGCCAGGCTATAAATAGGATAAAACAGAAAGATTTCTGGAAGCCCACTTAAAAATCAGAACCGCGTTTGTTTTATTTTCAGTTTCATCCCTAAATAAACAAAGATCCATGGAATGTGTGTAATCTGCAGTGGTGCCTAAATCAGCCTTCTTCATTTGTATCTTTTCCTTTCAACTTCTGAGGTACATTTTTATGCAGAGAAAAAAAAAATAAATCAATGTTACTTTCATTTTCCTTAAGCCCATTTTTGTACTTTTCCATGACAAATTATTCTTTTAATTTGGAGTCTGGGAAAGAGACTGAAAAGCTATTTTTCTAAAAGCTGAAACCTCATTGTCAAAGTAAAATGAAATCATCCAGTCCCACAAATCCAGAGTTTTTTGTGACTATAAACCTCTAAAGAAATCGTGGTGGAGCTGTTGTTGAGAGCCAGTGCAGCAGGCAGTGATGGTAACGAGCTGCCAGTGACAGAACCAAGCAGAGATAATTTAGCACACATCTCTCTTTATTCCTGCTGTTTGAAATGGCCTGGTCTCTATAGCAGCACCACTGTGGGTAACTATTGCCTTTGTTTCCTTTCCTTCTGTAGGTAAATTTACTTTTTCCTCTTCAGACAGCAACTCTCATCGCAGACTCTGCCTCTCGTGGGTCACGTTCACCCTGGACTGAACATCTCACAGGAAGCTTAGAGAGGAAAATATTGGGTTCAGGAAAATGAAAGCACACCTAAATTTGTTATTGTTATTGTCTTTAACCAGAAAGTGTTACAGGCATAAGAAAAACCAAATCTGTGGGCCAGGAAGACCAGAGTCAGCCCCAGCTGTTCTGAGCTTGTTCTGTGGCCCAACATTCATCCCTCCAGGTGAGTTTGTGACTTACCTGCCTTAGCCCTAAGCTGGAAGGCAACGTTTTGCAGTTTGGGTTGCAGAGTTTTGATTTTGTACAGCACAGCTGGGGCTCCTCCTGCCCCCAGAAATCAGCTTTTCCAGAGCAGCTCCCATGGTGGGGCTGGTGCCTGGGACTGGTGAGTCTGGAACCCCGAGGAGCTCCCGAGAGGACCAA